TATTATTTAATATGTTTTTGACGAATGCAAATATTTTTACAGAGAATAAAGTTTTAATTTTTTTTTTATATAAAATCATTCCAAATTGCATAACCACAAGTCATTTGTTTCAAAATCAAAAGATGATCAAAATGGGTCGACAGCACATTTTGAGATATTATACGTCTGGGGAATCATGTATCATCAGGTGACCCCCATGGTCTACTGTTTCTTTTATAAAAAGCTTACAGACAATATAACGGCTCTTTTATGGATAAGTTCATCTCCTGTGATGGATTTGGAAGGTACATATAATAGTCAACTCACGAAATCTCCGTTTGGCTATAAAAACATAACAGGATCTAAACGATCCTAAAAAATGGTGTCCGTCAATTGAACCTGGTTAGGAAAAGCCCACTATTTATTTATTGTTAGCGCATACTATTATATGCAAGTAGATACGAATTGTATGGTACGCAAAAAATTAACACAGTTTAAAAACATCAAAACACATGGATTAATGGTTCCTATTTCTTTAATTGAGACAGACTATGTAGACATCTCTGTGTCCGTTTCATCTAACTATCACAAGGCAACCCGAACAATGTTGGAGTTATTATGAGTGTTTCCCCCAAATTTATATAAATGTATAAAAGATAGGCTTTTAGTAGGATCAGCGTATTTATGTCTATACTTTTCTTTCAAAGGTATATTTGACGAGTTGCTTTAGTTTATTTTAGAGTTAGTATGTGCTGCAACTTAATCTGACGCAAAGCCCTACATGACCCCGCATAACGCTTCTGATAGTTTAGTTCTATTTAGACTTTGGAAATGCACTGACTGAAACCGACACGCGATTAAACTTGACGGCTTGTAGAGTCCAAGAAATATTTTTCAATTCAAAATCAACTAAAAATAGATTATTAAAGTATAATGGCATCATGTACGCGTGAAACTTATAAAAAAAATTAAGACATATTTTGTATTTATCTATTGCGAATAAATAAACGTTTCACTTGAGTTGTGGGTTACCTGTAGTACTCAATAAAACTATTTGCGTCTCAACGAGCAAATACCTGACCTATACGTCTTCCTACGTATCAATTTTAACCTTACCCTTTCGAGTACTATTTGAAAGGACATTGGAGGCTAGGAACTTGGGTTAAATTAAATGACACTATATTTTTTTTTGTTACAAAGTTTAAAAAATATTTAAAATAATGTACTAAATAAGTTAATTGATACATTTAACATTTTAAACGTTTGAAGTGTTTTATTTAAATAGTATCTAATATATTTAAACAGTAATAAAAGAATAATCTTGTTATGACCTTCCTCGGTTTAATAACAACATAGCAACGGAGCCACCTGGCTTCCACTAAAAGCTTACGAATTATATAATTAAGTAAAACTAAGGAACGAGTCACGACTAAGCTGTTTGGCAACTTTTACATATTATGCGTGCTTTGTTATCTACGCTGACAGCATATAGTGGAGAAATAGTTCACATACGACACAGGCATATTTCCTTGCCTGTTTCTAATCGATATTATTTAATTTGATAAGGCCAAGCAAAGAAAATTAAACAAACCAGATAAATATTGTCTGTAGTTTACGTGAGTTGCACACAATTAAATATAACACTTAAACGTTAACTGCGACGAAACAGGTGGCGCTAGCGTAGCAGATTTAATTTTGACATTAGAGACGCCGATTTTAGTCCCCCCAAAACTGCTGCTGCAAAGCAACCGAAACGTCGGCCCGTACTTTAAAAAATAATTAAGTTAACTCATATATTTCATGATTTAAACTGTTAACAGTGCATCATATCATTGTTTCATCAATTTGATATTTATTACACTAAAGATGTGTGTACGCACTACTTTCAAAGAAGTAGTTTTTTTGTTTAAAAAAATAACCTTTAGTTGACAACCTTAAATATGCTAAGCGAAGTCACAATCGGTGTCTATTAAAGCCAAATAAAACATTTGATATGGTTGGGCACAAAAAATTGTTTACTATCCTCAACGCAGACGCCAAGGTTGCAGCTCGAATTAATGGAGTACCTAACTTGTTTTTTTATTTATTTTGTGCATACGTACTACGAAAAAACTAGTTAGTACTTAATTAAAACCTTTTATGCTAGTTGCAAACGCGTTGTCATTTTATATAGTTTATATTTCTGGGTGACATGACTTGTTTCGGTTGGACGGAACACAGATGACTTCCTGCCTATAAATATGCTCGAATGGTAGAAAATGGGTAAAACCGACACAAAGCTGTGTCTGTTCCTTGCCCGCGAAAGACGCCTTCTCAATATTTTTGTGTGTTAACATTACCACAGCCCGTGGCGCTCTCGTAAATGTTGTTATAGCCTGACACTTTTATCATAGCAAATCTGACGAATAAAAAATTTGATAAAATTGATTTTGTTATTTTTATTACAAATCACGCGATATTTTCTTTCTACGTGGTTAATGATCTCCTTCTCTCGGGTCAAATGGTGACGAATTATGACTAATAACCAACGGGTCATGGGGTCAACTCCCACCAGATTCGACATGTTCGTAAAGAGATATTTGAACATATGAAAACGCTGTAAAATGTTATCACATTTCAGTTACAGTCTACCTATTTTCAAAAATTCAAAGCGAAAAGAGGCCGACAGCGCATCTTGTTTAATTCTTATATAACTGGAGTATTTAATGCTGCATTAGTTCAACCCAATGCCCTCTTTTATACAAATTTGAAACTAAAAAATACATATTATTTATAAATCAGTCATGTAATCAAATAAAATCCATTTTGCCATAAATTAATTTATTACAATTTATACAATATAGCTCGTAGTTAATATATACACTTGATCACTATATCTAGTTATAAATACAGGTATTACAAAAGCAATAGGCAGTGAAAGGTTACAGGAAGCCTTCTAATTCAGTCGTGGAAACATCGCAAAATAACGGGAACTTTTAAATAAATAGCATTAATTCTATAAATTACATTTTACCCGCTTCTTAAAACTAACTTATAAAATATTACATTATTACGTCTGCTTATTTATATGAACATATAAAAAGTATATTTAAAACGGTGTTTTTTTTTAGAAGAATAGTTTAGTAAATACTGTCTGTAGTTTACGCGAATAGTACACATTTAAATAAAACACTTTGACGTCTCGCCGTGGCTCCGGCCGCTGTAAAGCATTCCAAACGTCAGACCGTAGTTCAAATCATTTTCAAATAAGTTTAAGCAATATAACCGTTAAAGTGTTTTTATTTAAAGGAATAGTTTAGTTTTTTTTTTGTTTAGTTTTAGTATGTAGTCATATTGATTTGTTTAAATGTTGGCTTTAGTATTAAGAAAAGTTAAATAAATAAAATCGCATAAAATAGAACTAAGAAGCGCGTGCAAAAATGGCACCAGACCTTAATGAATAGAAAAGTTTTTAAAAACTAAGACACCTTATGATAATTAAAATAATATTGAGGTTTTACGCACTAACCCAAGCAAAGGTTTACTAGAAACATAGCAAAACATGCTTAATAGAGGACATGGAATAATCCAAAAATAGCAAAAAATATCGTTCAATAGTCGAAAAGGTTTAAAGGATTCGTCAGTTAAGAACTATCACAATCAATTTGCCGTTATTAATAACTCATTCTAATTCTACTTTCGAGAAAACATTAAAGATAAACGTGGCGATATTTGTTACTAAAACAAGCGACAGTCGAAAGTAAGATTCGTGTTTGAAACAACATTAAATACAGCTTAAGCTACAAACTTCAAAATAAACTACTTAATTGGTTTAAAAACAAATTGTTTAGAATAATTTACTTTCAAGTTTTTACAAATATCCTACATTCGATAGGAACATAATAAAAATAAGAACTTACGATATAATATATACTTAGGCTTTAAAGCATAGGAAATACAATAGCCTTTAGCATATTCGACAAAATTTTCACAGGGAATGTAACACCCATTTAAACAAGTACAGCAACTTAAAAAAAATTAAGTTAAACAGTTTTAATTTTTGTGCGCAGAAAACTACAAATGTTTTTAAATTTTGACACAATTATCGTGTTTTACTAGTGTAGCCCCTTCATTTGATACCCATATTGAGGGCGATAATAAGTATTTTTGTATCGGCGGCCATCTTAGATTGATACTGTTTTAATATATTGTATTGTCGTCTAATTAAAATGTGTACCAAATTTCAGATCAATCTGACAAGGTGGTACGGGAAGGTGCTTAAATTTCAATTTCTAATTTTGATCCACATAAATAAATTCCGTACGGGCCAAGCTAAATAAAACTCTTTAAAAAGGAATTGAATAAGAAGTAATAAACTAACAATCAAATTAACTTTAAGAATGGAAAAAAAATTGATGCTGACACTACTACAAGCGCAAAGCTGTTTTGAGCTAATTTTATTCATCAAATCTTGTTCGAAAACTTTTCCCAATTTTTCCGCGACATACATTATAACTTCTAAGCAACGGTTTTACGTCATACACCATTTGCTACATAAATAGTGTTTTATTTGACCATTACTTTTCGTCAGGCGCTCAAAATCTGTCGCCACTTATAAATGGTGTTATAAACTACTATTAAATTGTTCCTATATTACATGACACTTTTCTATCTACAACGTCCTATATATTTACATCACTCGCAACATGGTGCGTACTGAGACACTTTCGGAAAAGTTTCGAGTCCTCGATGGCTTATCCTGAACCGCTGGTGTACGCGTTCTGGCCAGCTCTAAAGACGTTCTGCACTGTCTGCGCGGCTCCCTACAACATACAATTTTCTATTATGAAACAAACGAAGTATGCGTCGTTTGTAAAATATTTTTTTATAAATTGTGAAGGTTTTGATCATCACAGCGGACTCTTCTTGTTTTCAAGTTTAATTAATATAAGTATATATTGGAATGATTATTTATACATAAGCAAAAGAATTATCGTCTTACGACTAAGACCTAGATTGCTTTGAAGAATTGCAAATTAATACTACGTATTTTCGGTCGCTGGTAATTTGCCGCCCTCCTTCATAAGCACAGATTTGTCGTCCATATTTCCCTCCCATTTGAAGAAGCTTTTCATCAACAGTGTGTGGTGTTTGCACAATACCTGTATCGCCGCTCCTAAGAACTGTGAAAATGCCCTCGTAACGTTGATGGCCGCTGAAACTAATTGACCCCTTCCCGGTGGCTGTTCCACAGCGCTAGGTGGCTCCAGGGGTATCTAGCAGTGAACGACGGGTTAATTACATTAGCACACAGACTGACACAAAAGCTACGAGCTTGTATTCGCTTCAGACTCTACAAAACTGTCATATTTCAATTACTAACAAGTAATTACTAATATAAGATTATACAGATCTTGTAGAATCGAAAAACAAATACGTCAATGATTGTGCAATGAAGTATGAAATATGAAAAGTGCATGCAAAGTCAAGCGTTAGTTTACACTTAGGCCACAAATATTTACATTACAATCAGTCGATTAAACTTTTTTATTGGATACATTACATATATTATATTATTAATAATGATAATAATAAATCATAGATTCTTATATACCAGCCCAATTGTTTTGAAACTGCACTATTAGGTGAACTTCCCCCTATTAATAACGTCTGCAAGCATTAAGTGTTTACAAGTAATAAACCAGAATTAGAAAGTTAGAACGTAAATACACTTGTTTTTATTACTCACCAAAGTATCACTTAGTTTTTTTTATATTCTATTAACTTATTTGAATATGCAACCACTTAAATCACAAATTTTAAACTTCAAAATATACATTTTACTGATGTATTTGTCTACTATTTTAAATTCTATGTATAAACATAGTATTAATGTTGAATGAATTGTATGAAGGTGTAAATGCTTATGGCTGTGCTTACAAACATTTAGTTAGTGACAAAACATGGCATAATGTTAAAAACTACTCAATACTACGTTATCTTAGGTTTTAATGACAAAAACAATTATTAAATACACAAAAATATAAAACGAAGCACTTTATTTACAACTAGTATCTAAACTATGTTAAAAATCATAAATATGTACACATAAATTAATTTCGTTGCAGAATGACAACTGCAATGTTTTTAAGCCAATTACAAAAAGCTCCCGTCATATTTCACAACACTGCTGGTGTATATATATACAAATGTCACACAACACTGGATCGCTCGATTTAAAACGAGATCTATTTCCATAAGTGTTCCGACACCTCACCCCATCTCGCTTAGTTTAAATAGGAATGATGAGGAACCCACTCTGTTTGAGGGCCTTTCATCAGCATTACCGACGAAAGGCCCGGAGCCGAACCAATTCACTCTTGAACTGGTGGACGTCGACGGAGGTTGCGCCGCCTGCTGTCTCGGTAGTGTCGGCCTGGAAGGTTGAGGACCCGCGGAGCCTGGCGCCGTGTCCCTCCACTGCTGCCACAGCCAAGCCAAGCCATCTAGTATGGGCCTCCGTGGCGCAGGCGGCGGCGGTACAGTAGTCGTCCGCCGAGCCTTCGGCGTCACGACCACTTGGTTCAGTAATGCCTACGAGATATTAGTTCTAGAATATACCTAAATGATCATTAAATCTATCTATTCGGTTAAAGCTTAGAAAGAAAATTATGAAGAACAGGTGACAGGTAAATGACCGCAAGCGAAGGAAGTTACTCGCAATGATTGCGACGTGAGATGTGATTGTTAATCGTTCCTGGAATTAGAGAGAAAATGAAAAGTTAGAACTAACAGCGAGACGGATTTGTTCGTCCAAAGAACTTGCCGTGGTCGGACCGAAACCTTGCTCCTTCAATAACGCTGCTAGAAGTGCGTCGTTGCTATTTCCGTACTCTGTACTCAGGGACATCGACGGTTTGGTGGACTCTGACATCATTCCGGGCTGAGTTTTCTGTATCAATTTCTTTAAAGCTTCGTCTGGTGAATGTCCTAGAACATTTAATAATAGATTTGATCAGAAACTTATAAGTTATAACGCCTACTTTTGTTAGAGCTCCAGGAAAAAATATAATTCTCCTATATTCACGCACACCTTTAAACCAGTAAATAACATTAACAAGCAGATTTTTAGGACACTGAAGTATCTTTTGAAAATATGGAGTTAACCTTTATCACAATTTAATTAGCAAAATAGACGATGATATTATGTCTGTACCTGTAATTGCTAATTTATTCCTTATCGTTGTTGTTTCCTGAGCGTCTTGCAACTTTATCAATGTTTGAAGCAGTTTAGCATCATCTTGTTCATTTCTCAAATCATCCTTTACGGCTATTTTCACATTTGGACTCGTAGTTGTCGGAATCTTCGGTGTCGTTTGAATATCGGCAGGTCTCTGCGTTAGAGGATCAAAGGGTTCATTCAGAGGCGAGGGCGAAGCAAGCAAATTTGATAGAAGCTCTAAATCATCATTTATGTGTTGTGGAATTTGTGGACTCACACTTGTAGTAGGCAGCGTTGGAATATTGAATTTGGATGGATCTTGTCCAGTCGCTTTTAAAAGAGCTTGTAAAAGTTTCGTATCTTGTTCGAGTTGTTTGATATCGTTCTCTATGGATGGAATGTTTTGAGGCGGTGTGGTTGTGGCGCGAGTGGTGGTGGCTCTAGTGGTTGTAGTTCTCACCGTCGTCGTTGTCGGTATTGGTGTTGTTGTCGTCATTACCTTTGTTGTTCCTACACTTTTGCCAACCTGTATTTCATTTAGACTTCGTTCAACAGCTAGTGCTATAACACGATTTGCAAGCGCTGTTTCTGGGTCTTCATTTTGATTTGTACTGAGGACTGATTTCTGAAAGAAGAGGAACATGTGGAATAACACTACTATTAAAAGTATTTAAAAAGTAAAAGCACGTTATAAAGAACAGGTACATTATGTATTATGATTTAATTAGTAGTATACTAGGATTATTAAAATGCGGACCGATTTTACATAACATACCAAATTTTGTAGGAAAAGAAGGTCCTCTTCATCTGAATATGTAGAGCTACTAGGGATTTCAGTTGTGACTGTTGGACGGTTTTTTGTTGTTGTGGGTGCCTTTACATTTACAGGACGGAATGTGGTAGATATACCGATATCTTCTGTTGTGGGCTGTAAAGTGGACACAGTAATAATTTGCGACCTAACAGTGGTGGTTGAAGGTGCTCTTGTTGTTGTATATACGGGTCTGACATTAAAAGCAGTAGTCGATTTCGTTTCCATTGACGTCGTTAGTGGGTTAGATGCTATTCTAACATTAGATGTTAAACCAGATATTATAGGCATGTTTCCGATATTCTTGTTGCTAGTGGCCTGCAGTAACGCTTGTAAAAGTTTAGTATCTTCTTGTAATCTCTGAATTTCGTCGTTAACAGATTGCGTTGGTTTCGTAAATATTGTTTGTGTTGTGCTCGTTTGTGTAGTAGGCTGTTCTGTTGTTGTTGTACTAAAAGTCGTGGTTGGTTCTACAGGTTTTGCTGTAGTTATTGCCGATTTGATGTCATTTAACGATGGTATATTAAGAGAAGCAGGATCCCTTCCAGTTGCTTGTAACAATGCCTTTAATAATTTAGTATCTTCTTCGAACTGTCGTATATCATCTTCAATTGAACGAGAGGTGGTTGTTTGTGATTTTGATCTAGAATTAGATGGCTTAGCGCTATTGGTATTTTGTCCGGTAGCGAGTAAAAGAGCTTGTAATAGTTTTGCATTTTCTTCTTGCTGATTTTGCAGAACTTGAGCGTTATTAAAGCCCGCCAAATTTTTGGCATTGCGTTCTGTTTGTGTCAGCGGGGTGTTAGTTTGAGTTTGATAAATTGAATTGGTCGCACTTGCAGTTGGTATTGATGTCGCAGTTGGCATTCGGTATGTAGTCGATGGAAGCGTAAAATCAGTAACCACCTCTGTTGTTGTATATAAATCAGCACTAAATTTTACATCATTATTAGTAGTTATTGAGTCTGTAGTTGGCATCACAGTACTTGGTTCTGTACTGGATGGTATCTTTTCAGTTATGGCATTCTCTATCATAGCTGTTTTTGTATCTGTTGTAAATATTGGCTCATTGAACTCTGGCGTAACAGATTCATTATTTTGAGCGTCAGTGCTTATTTTAAATGGTGTTGCTGCCAACGTTTGCGTAGTGGATGTTATTTCAACACTTGGTTCTGTATTCGTTTGTATTTGTGGTGTTTGTGTATTTACTTCAGTTGTACTAGCGATAGTTGTTTGTAAACTATCAAATGTTGTTGGTTTTAGAGTTTTAGGAGATGCCAATTTTAATACGTTAGTTTCTTGTGAAGATGGCACTGTGACGTCTTCAATTGGAATAAATTTAAAAACAGTGTTTCCGCTGCCATCGTTGGGTTTTTCGGTTCGTATTTGTTTAGTCTGTAATTTTTTTGGAAAATGTTAATATAATATTTAAACGTCTCTTTACAGTCTATTTAAATAAATACTCTGTATTTAAAATACTCAAATCGATTAAAATTTTAATATTCCAAAGTCCTTCACCACTTACCTTAAAAATCAACCAATTTATTTTAACTCTTGGTAATTACATGCAAATAGGTTAATTTTTTCGTATGACAATATTAAAGTACTTTCATATTCAATTTTAAAGAATATCCTAAAATATTAGTTTAAATTGGCAAAGCATGTTTGTTGTTATGAATGTACTGTCAATTCTGTTATTAAAAATATTACTGATCTAAATGATTATACCTCCGGATCGATATCCAGTGTTAATATTCTCGGTTCAGGAGTTGAACTCGTCATGGAAGATATGACCATTTCCTCTTTAGTCGCCAAAGATATACTATTAAGCAGAATCTCATCGACAGAAGGTAACATTGTAGTTGTGCGTAAACTTAAAACATGCGAGGCAGTGCTTTTTTCAGCGAGTAGCTGTGTGGAGGTAGTTGTTATACCCAATGAACTGCTATCGTTTATATTAAGTGCCGATGAGGGTATCTGCAATTATGAAATCATATGTTATGCCTCGCGCTGTTATTTGTAAGCGTTTTTAGTCTTCCCCGGTCATGCAAAACTTACGGTTAAGACCTCCACCAACTTATCTATTACCGTGACCATGCTTACGAAGAAGTAAAGCTCAAAGCACAGCATTTAAGATAACATAAAATCAATACCATTACTTGCAGGTTATTTACAGTGTCGGTGGTTAAACTGTTTTCCTTTTCGTTATTTGATGTGTCTGTGGATATCACAGTATTAGTGGAAACTCGGATGGGGTTAGACTGTGGTCTGACAATGGCCGGAATGTTATGGATAGGGCTGTATGGATTTTTTAGACTCCAAGGACTGATTGGAAGTACGTCAATTTTTTGCATGATCTGTGGCACTCTAGTTCCATTTGGGAACCTGCGTATTATTGTGTTATTTGGTAGTACGCCGTAAATGATATATGGACTCGCTTCTGTTAATGCTTCCAGTGGATTATCGTTAGGGTCTTTACGTACCACTGTATTATTAGGCAGTATTCCAAAAATGACAAAATCTTTTTTTGGAATTGATGGTCGAGTGGCTACGTTTAGTATATTGCTAGTTGTTAAGCAATCACTTGTTTTGTTGTCATTTAATACAGCTTTAGCTGTGGTCGTTTCAATACCTGATGAAGTTGTTTCGTCCACATTGCTAACTGCCGTTGTGCTAAATAAACTTATGGTCTCTGTTTGTGTTTGCTCATCTTTTGACTCAGAACTTGTAGTACTTGATATGAGTTCTAATGTATCATTCACTCGTTCTTTTGAAACTTCATTAGTAATAAGCTCTTCAATATTGGAAACTGTTGTAGGTAAGAATGAATTGTCGTTGGTAAAAACATCAGCAATTTTGCTAGCCATTTCTGATGGTATATCAGTAGTAGCTACATTCATGAATGAATTTGAATATGGACTTTGAGTCAAAATAGATTCTAGATTGGATAAAGTAGTTTCTGGAAATGAGGTAGTTGTAAAGGGCGCTATAGGACTTGTAGGTATAGGAGTAGGGTTTTCAGGAGTGTTCATTGTAGTTTGTTCAGTTACATCAGAGTCAGGAGTATCCGTCGTTGAGTCCATTGTAGTCATAATTTCAGTTAACCGACTAGATAATGATACATTTGATTTATTTATACTTTGAATGTTATCTTTAAAAGGTGGATTAGCAATATCGTTATTATGTTCGCGTAAGAGATCTTCAATCATTTTTAAGACACGAGCTTTTTTAGATAATATCCATAGTTGGAGTTGAGATACTTGATTTGGGTTTGGAAGGCCATCTTTTTTTTCTTGTGGAATCATAAGTAAATTTGTCGAGGAGGAAGGCAGCTGAAGTTGGGAATAAAATAAATCAAGAGTGGGGCCTTGTGGAGGATTTGTAAAAGCCGGCTCCGGTTTGTTAGTTGGAGTTAAATTATCGACATTTTGCTGTTCAATATTTACATTTGTAGAGATTGTATCGGATGACCTTGTAGTCGATTCTATATCTCGTGACGTCGTTGTAGTACGTGTAGTTGTTAGTATGTTAAAATCTCGTTGAAAACTATTTTCGCTTAAAGAATTAATACTACTTGATTCAGATAATATTTCTTCAGTAGAAAATCTATTTACAGGGATAGGACTTTCAGTAGTAGCAATGCTATTAGTATTTGAAAGTATTTCTATACTATTTACAGTAGTCTCAACACCAACATTTTGAAGGATGTTATTTTCATTTGATGATTCAACATAAATATCAAAATTTTCAGTATCTTTAATATCCTCCAAACTGTAAGGTGTGGTTATCGCAGGAGAACTATCATCATCTACTATTTGGGTATTATTCAAAGCACCGGGACTCAAAGAATTCAATAAATTAGTCATACCTACTGATAATCTAGATTTACTTTCCTCGTCCATATTTTGAATTATGCTTCTAATGTTATTCGATAACATGCTTGTTAGTCCGGATGATACTAGTCCATTATTAGATAACAAAAGATCAGATATACTGTTATATACCATTTTTGGTCTATCAGTCGATCCCGCATAAATACCAGTAGCAGCAGTCGTTCTTTTGTCTGGTGATTCAGTCTCAGAATACAGTACTTTAATAGCGAATGGTTTTCTTGCAGAAAGAGGAGTCGTCGGAGTAAAAGGAGTAGTAGGAAATGTCTTAGGAGAGGTAAAAGATGTTGTTTTTTCGTCCTCAGCTTTTAGTGACTTTGTAACATTTTCCCCAACCGGCAAACTGTTAAACACAATCTGTTCAGTGGTTTGTACAAACTTAGCATTTGTGTTTACATTATTGTCCTTTGATGTTACCGTTTCCTGATTTGCAAAGCCCGTGACACTATTTACATTAATGTTGCTACTCACGCCGTCAAGTGTATGCATTATATTGATTTCGTTGTTTTGTTTGGATAATATTTCGGTTGTTGTCGAAATTCGAGGCTTAGGAGTAGACGTGAGTATTTCGGCTAAAGCATCAAATATAGACACTGTGACTGAAGGTGAATGTTGTGATGCTTCAACATTTAATACTTGTAAGGGTTTCGCCAAGCTCTCAGAAAGCCTCAAATCAGCTGACGACAGAGGACGGCGATTCTTAGTTATGGTTATTGCATTCATGTCGGGCCCTAATAGTGTTTCTTCTCCCTCTACCTGAAATGAAACGTGGTCTCACCCATAATTACAGAAATAGAAAAATCAGTTTTAGATGTGACTATGTATAAAGAAATAAGGTACCAAAACACCTCTGAAATATTGATAAACGTGCAAAGACCAAAGCCTCTTTATTACTATAAGACTACTAAAGAGTAAAATAGTACGGATATTATACAAGATTAAAACAAAAGGTTAAAATGAAAGATGTTTAATGTCAAAAATGTTAGTGTAATGATATTGTTATCGTACATAATATTTATAGTATTATTTTGTAGCGATACCGACTTAAATATACTTGGTGTAGTATTTTAAATGCGGCACATATTATACTCGTCACCCAAAGAGACTTGATAAATGCAAAAAAGTCTTCCTAAAATATTTAATTCCTAATTTAACAAGTAAATGATGTGTACTAATGCTAATGTGAATGTGATGCGATGATATTTTAAATGATTCCATTAACCAATTCTATGGATGATTCGTGTGAATATATCGGGGATGTGAAGTTCATTCTTGATATAATTTCCGTTGTGGCATTGAAAAAGTCATTTCCAAACAACGTCGGGTCATCGACGACCTTGTACTCATCAGTCACGAAGAGTTTCAGCCATGCCTTTAGCAACAAGAAACTTCTCGTTACAAAATTATTTTCTACGTATACTAGTGAATTAATCATTATTATGAACTTAAGGGAGATAATTTAACAATGATTTTATAAATGTATGCGTTAAATGTTTATTATATAACTTAAATCATATATATTGAAAGCATATAGACTTCAAATCAACATCCAAATATTAAACTAACTAAAAAAAATCATTGTTAAATTAGAAATAATATGATACCAAAATGACAAGATGTTAGTATGTTAATACTGAGTTATTCATAAAGGGGGTTTGGTCGATTTTTAAATTAGCTTAGTTCCTATGAATTTGATTCTTTGTAAGGCATTATTGACTGAAGAATGTAAATGTTAAGTAAAAATGTCGTAGAAATGTTACTTACAGCTGTTGGTGTTACAGTGGGTACTGTAGGTTTGTAAAAAGGCTTATCTAAATAAGAAGCTCTGTATTTTGAACTAAATTTATGTTTAGGTTTTTCAGGTTCTTGTTTTATCTGAAAATGTTGAGTTTTGATGTTGCGTTTAATACTCAAATTATGTTGTAAATGATGTCGTTCTATTTATTGATTTTAATTTTATAAGCTGTACTTACACTGTTTTCAGGAGCTTCTGTTGTCTTAGAAAAATTATCACCATACTTTCGGATGTTTCTTTCCTTTGTTTTGAAAATTACTGTTGAATTATTTCCTTGTTCTTTCACTTTTCCAGGTTTCCTTCCATATTTTCTTGTCTGGATATTTCTTATCGCTGGCGTAGCTGAGGTTGCGGCTCTTTCGTTTACCGTAAAATTGGGGTCTTCTTTATAATTAGCATGATATTTTTGGGTGGTAGTTTCAGTGTTTAAGACAACTTTACTTTCACTTTCTTCAACTTTATTTAAAACCTCATTTTCCGTTACGTTGTCGGGAGATTCTTCACCATAAGCTATTGTGGTGGTATTTTTATCGTTGTCATTGCGATAATTATCGCTCTTAGAGGGGCTGTTAAGATAAGTAAATATTAGGGGTAATCCAGCAGAGCTTTCAATTTTTTTCTCAGCTATAGGAGTTTCAGTGTTTGCTTTGGTTTCAATTGTAGATGTGTTTGTGTTATTTTTTAGCCGAGAGTAATATGATGTGCTCGGTAACGTTCTTCTTGCTTTAAAATGACTAGCTGATTGCACTCGATCATTTTTACGATTGTCACTTAGAGGAATTACAGTGATATTATTGTTAAAAGGATCATTTTTTCTTGTAAATAGTGAAGAACGAATTACTTGTTTCTTTGGTGGCGAATTTTCCAAGCGTTTAGTCTTTAGAGTTATATCCGTTTTCGATGGTTCTGTAGCGTTTTTAAGTTTTCTACTAAACTTGTACTGTCTTTCAGTACTAGGCCTTGTGACTTCAGTAGTAGGGGGAAATCTAGTTAATTTACTGCTTCTAGGCAGATAAGAACCTCGTGGACGATATGTAACTGATCTGGGTTTGGGCAAATCGGGAGTTGTTATACTCGTAGAACCTCTCTGAGTTGGTTTGGAGGTGGTCGTCGTAACAACAGTTGTGCTTGATTCGGATGCTGCGATTTGTAGGTCTTTTGAATTTTCTTCAGTTTTCAGTTTTTTTCGAAGCTGAAATCAGAATTAGCATTATTAAGTAAGGCACCATAGTACATAAGAGTAATGAAGAATGATTATAATGTTGTTTGTGTAAAACAAATTTACTGTTTGTATTGAGTCAGTTTTAGAGTAGAATGATCAAATAGTAACTCATTTGATATGTATTACCCGAGAATTGCTGTCAGTGCCTCGATTCGTGCTGAATGTTTGTGTAGGTGATACGTAATTTTTTGAAACCCTTTGTGATGCTTTCACTGACAAACTCTCGCTTGATGGAGAGTTTGGTTGTGTCTGAAAGTGAAAATAATGTTCACGAAAAAAATTTAGTTGCTAACTAATTTGATTAGTCATTCGAATATATATTAGTTAGATGTTTGTCGTCTGGATGTTAGGAGTTATATATAAGTAATAAATAGCATGTATTTTTTCGCATAAATTTTAAAAAGGTCTTAGCAATTGCTGCAAGTAAAAAATCAGTACAAATCAAAAAAGTCTCCTTTTATTGACAGGAAGTTATTGTAATATAAATTTGAAGGCATAACATCAATAGTATATAGCTTACCGCATTTCTTGCTTGTATCAAAGCCTTAAAACTCTCCGGGTAATTATCGTCTTCGCTTATTTCATCGGACATTTTCGATTGACTATTAGCCTCCGCTGATTTCGAATAACTATTGCTACGCGTTACGGGTCGTCTTACTATTTTCATCGATTTTAGTGTGCTTGTCTTCGCCAAATTTTTCTCAGAACTAGATTGATGATTGACTAATGTTGTTTCAGTGGTCGTTGTACTCAATAGTATTGTGTCGTTCATTTCTGTTTGACTAGCTGTCTCCGTTTTTTGACTAGATTTTTGGACTTCGCTTGAAACTGTAATTCCTTCTCCGGTAAGATTAGTATCGATTTCATAAGTTCTTGTTTTGTACCGCAATTTCCTCGAATTCCTTGCATCATAATTTTTTGTAATGGGTTCTCTGACAGCTGCAGTAAAAGTGTTTGTAGTTCCAGCAACTTCTAAATCGATAGGTCTTGAATTCTTTCTCGTATCAATGCGTCCGCGAGGTCGAAATGAAGTAGCCTCTTCCATTGTACTAACAGTAGAACTTCTTCTTCTGAGCTGATCACTAATTCTAGCTTCACTTGTAGGTTGAATTTCATTTAGTTTGGTTATTTCTGACTTATTCTCTACAGTGCGTGGTCCTACCGTTGTTGTAATTCTATTCGAAGGAGTTATGGGTTCTTCTACTTGAGAATATTTTCTTCCATTATGTCGTGATCGTCCACGAATAACACTTTCTCTGTCTAAATTTCTTTCTGAAGACAATTCTCTTTCTAAAGGTTTTCGAGTTCGACTGTTTGACCTCCTTGATTCAAATTGTTGGTTTTGTCCCGATTGAGGCTGCGGTTCAACTTTGCCTGAGACATGTTCGAGCGTTCTACTTCTACTTCTTATTCGAGAAGTGCTGGATTCAACCACTTCTGATGTTTCTTCCCATCTTCGGGCTCCTCTTGACCTTATCGTAGGCGCTATATCATTTGTTTTATTTAATTTGTTAATATTGTCTGTCGTTGGTCGCCTGCTAACACGTGAGGTGCCTTGAGCCTGGAATGAAAACATACAGTCTAAAGTTACTTTCGTTTATTGGTTATTTTTTTATAATTAGATTTGGAAAGTAAATTAATTAAAAATAGGAAATATATTATTTTAAAGAATGTCTTTATTTGTTAAAAGATATGCGGACATAACGTTAAATGCTTTAAACATAAATGCATTAGTAAAACAATAGACGTGCATTCCGAGTCGAACAATAGTCGGAATAGATGCAAACACCGGAACGGTAACGGATTTATCTTGCCCAATGTGATATAATATCAACGTAATAGCCAGCAGAATATTTATGTAATATATATTTTGTATTTTCTTATTGAATTATGAACTTATACGTATGGTATATATAAGTAACTGTTTGACAAATGTTGTTTGATAATGACAACGTAGAAATATGATATTTCAACTTATTATAAGACTGTTTCTGATGCAAAAACCCTAAATGGAATTAAAGGAAAAAACCGTATTATTTACGTTTTAAAACCAATAAATGTACACTGCATGAAGCATCAAACTACTAATAAATATGCATATGTTTTGTATTTAAAGTTTAATTCACCATGTACATCCGTTTCACATTTTTAAATACAAAACATTTTGTTTTCTATGCCTTTCCCGGCCAAAAAAAGTATTATTTCTCCAGTATTTGAGCCCAGGAGCTCGAGAAGCTTAACAAATTGATCTTATCAATTAAATTAAATATTTTGGGTATACATCTATTTTACATTCTGTTCCATTTGGTCCCACATTAAAATGTGATACGAACTGAAAACGTGTGAATATCAAATGCCAAATTTACTCGGTAATTAGAGTTTTGTAACGGACAGTTGAATGATTGTCCATCCATAACAATAAGGCTGATATGCACAAACATTTCGTTAGTGGAGCATAAACTGTTTAAGATACTTAATGGTATTATAGTACTATTATTTAAGTTGTGTGTTACTAATATTTTCCACTGTACCGTAAGTTTGTTTAGAAATATATTTTCAGTTAACGGTTTAAAACGCGATAATATTAGTTAAAATTATTTCAATATTACTTAAACTACGGCTTGACGTTTCGGTTGCTTAGCAGCAGCCCTGGGCCCCCCCAGAAAAAAGAAATATTTAGTATTACTAAATTAAAAAAATTTTTTTTACACATTTAAATCTTCAAATATATGTATTAATCAACCCTTGAAGCTTATTAGCTTGTTAACGAACGTGGATTACTGAGTTCGAGTTCCAGCAAAATTTATAAAATTGTAATGTACTAGAGGTAAGGTGTCGAAATAGTAAATACCAATACCAAAACCTTAAATAAAGTAAATTAAAGAGTTTTATTACATATTAACAAGGTAGAGCAATTCTTTTACTGATTAGAAACATTGAAATTCGTTTCTCAGTTCGTTAGTCCTCTAAACAAGACTCTGCAGTCAACTTGACCACAAGCCTTCGCAAAGTAGGGTGTGCATAAATACTAGAGTCTACTAGGATATTTTTTGTTTTTCCTATAATTTTTAATATATTTTATAGAGATATTTTTTTATATCTAAAACTATCATAGTACACGTATTAATAATTCACGATTATTTCAGAGTTCTATTATATACTATATGCTAAGAAGTAAGAAAAGAAATAACAAAAATAACCAACTTTTTCTTTATAATAGAGGACAAAAGACAAGCATGGGGTCACGGACTAAAAACTGAAACGTGGTTAAACTTTACGGCTTTCTTTTATCTAAATGATTCGTGACCCGGATATATTACAATATTCCCACCCACTTAATTTCCAGATTTTCAGATGTAGTCCAACATGAAATCTATATATAAATTAAAAATTATGATGGATCGGGTTAAGGTCAACCTATTGATAATTTTTGCCATACATTGCTACACATTTAAATAAAACATTTTACCGGTTTAAAACGCGATATATTTTAGTTAAACTTGTTTGAAATTATTTTTAACTACGGACCGACATTTCGGGTGCTTTAGCAGCAGTCATGGTCACGGGGAGACTAAAATGGATGGGAGGATGTCCCTGACATCAAAGTAAAACTAAATCTATCGCGTTTTAAACCGTTAAAATATTTTATTTAAATGTGTACTAGTCTCATAAACTACAGACAGTATTGCTACACATTTTCTTACAGTTTAATAGAATCGTACTGACTAAGTCAATAATTATGATGAGCTCTAAGTAACCTCAATTGACCTTCACCTAACCTACGACGTCACCCTGACATAGTGTATCCTATTGAAGGTAGTGATAGAGTTTCAGAGCACTGAAACAATATACTATAATCAAGTATGCGTTTAATCAATGAATTTAACTTAATGGTTCGTTATTTTATTAAGATTGGAGGTCATAATGTAATTCCATCCCCGTTCATTGTACGTTCGTTGTACACCACTTAGGATAGGTTATTTTACCTGAGTTTGTTTGTTGATAAGATAAATATTATGAAATGAATTGATTATAATTATAATAATCAAATTAATAATAATACTATATTAATAACTCATTGTCACCCTATCGGCCAGTCCTTGCTCGCCTTTCACCCCATGACAAACACTTGAGCCTTTTATGTCCGCATGTTGAAGTCTAGAAACATTTTTAAAACCAAAAGCTCTTATACAAAGAATATTGTTTAAGAAATAAGAATAGACTTGCTGATTTTTCACAATGATTTTGAATTTTTGAGGACTATTGTCCGTTTACGCGAGTACACAATTAAATAATTCATTTTTAACGGTTTCAAACGCAAAATTCTAATTAATTAATTTACAATATTTTAACTAAGGCGCGACGTTTCGGATGTTTTTCTATCTGCTACGCTAGCGCCATCTGTCTTCTTGTAGTTCGTATTTGGAAAACTATCTCATTCAATAACCACAGAATTTTATAACTGAAAAGATATCCAATCTCTAACCAATTGAAATTCTATCCAAGACGGCAACCCCCGTTCCTAGATGAAAAAGCCGTCTAGTTTAATCGTGTTTCAGCTACATTCTGAGGATATCCGAATTTCCAAAGCAATATGTCACAGCATATCTTGCGTAGATGTTAAGTGGCTGCGGTATTTCATCTACCATCAACACAACCTCATACTTCTTTATCCCTCACAATCATAAAACAAGAAATAGCCACATACAAAATAAACAAAAAAAAACGTGAATTCAAATTTTAAAGAATAATCTTAGGGAGATGATAATATACTAAGATATGCCCATTATAGTTCAGATCTAAAAACTGCCAAACACGATTTTCAATTGCTAATATTAGAAAGGAAGTCCATCTGCCGGTCACTCGACTGGACTGCATTGAGCAAGGTGAATAAATGTTACAATTGCCGCTTACTACTTCTTGTTTGGGCTAAGTGATAAGATAAACAGTTTTGAAATAAAAAATGAGCGGTTTTTAGAAGGACACAAGTGCCCTGGTTGTAGTCATGATTTAAACCACAATAACACAAAAAAAAATCTTTTCTGATTTTATGTTAATGATAAGATTTTTTTCTTGTTTTATAGTAGTTAATCACTATAATATTATAGTAAACTTAAGTTTGTAAGTTTATATTTTGTTAGCTTTTAAATGTTTGAATATAGGCCTCCAAAGTATTTTCGATATAAAAGACGAACATTGTCCTAAAACAATTAAATGACATATAATGCCATGAAATATTCACTCATTTAAGGTGGAAAATATACAGGAAGATGTTATTTATAATTGGTTTTTGCGTAAAGTCGGTTAGGTATGCCTTATCACTAGGACTGTTCTGTTCTGTTAAAAAATATATCTCTTGCCATTTTCTTTTGTAAATTTGTTACACTTAAAAAAACTCTATTTCGAATCTTCAAACTTCTAAATGAGTGAAAATGTAATTCAGTGAACATTTTATTTATCATAAGTTTGCGACTTGGACCACAACCTCATGACGGGCATCGGTTTACGTAACATCGGCTAGACGTTACCCTTCTCAAAGCCTATCGTTACACTTACGTAGCGATTGCTAATTAGTTATTTTATGTCGTGAGGATTATTATATAAACATATTAATCTGTGCATAACGTAACCCAATTATGATTTTTTACGATGGATCATGACAGACAAGAAAGGGGTTCTTTCAATAAAATAAAAAATCCCCAATTAATATAACATCTTACTTTTCGATTTGGATATTTGGAAATACTCTTAAACAACACGGAACGAAAATTTATTTTCGATTTTTTAAACTACTCTTTAATTTAATAATATTCTTCAGTAGTTTAGCTTGTGTGTATGTTGTTTAGTATTTTAAATAACGAGTATAACGAATGATAAACCGTAATAACCGTGTGTATTTACACTTGTTAACTTGTTGTTCGATTGCTCTCCAGCACATTTTAAGTTTCTTTATTTATTAATTATAAAGTAAATTAACATAAAATAAGTGAATAATTATCTCATTATTTTTCGATGAAACTGAAGCTAAATTAAATAGTAAAGACAGAGAATTGTTCTAGACATTAATAGAATAAAGCTCACATATGTACATATTTCATCACCATACTCGTATCACTTAGCAGGGTTAGTCACGAATTAGAGCAGAGATAGAATCAGTACTATTCATCGACATGTCCCGACAGCTCTTATGTCATTAAGAGCTGTCTCTAATATAAGAGGTCAGAGAATATCCGCTCACGTGCGAAAATATAGTCTGTTCGATTCCTAGTGACGCTTTAAACTGTAAGCTTTGCGCATGCTTTCCGGTAACGAATACTTCGTAAGCCCATTCTTAGATTCCGAATATACACCACATATGGACAAACAAATTTAAATTTATGCTATATGAGTACAAGAACAAAATAAATAAAAGTGCATAGCTGCATGTAAATAAGTTTATTAACTGATTACCCTCTAAGCCTAAGTATTTTTGTTGTTATTTTTATTGTAAAAAAAATAGTAAAAAGAAAAGCTTAATAAAGGACTGAATAATGAAGTCAAAGCTCAATGATCGGTAAAGAATTCTAGAAGTTCAATTTAAAGGAATCGCTGTAGCGAAAGTGGTCTGGTTCAGTATCACTTTCATGCGCGTACGCAAACCGGCTTTCATTAATATTTGTAAAGCCTTATAAGACACGGTTTGTTGAGGAAAAACTGCGTACTTTGACACTATGAAAGGAGATAGCTTGAGGTTATAAGAGTTCTCGAGTGCTTCTGTATTATAGTTAAAGTGCTTTATATTTCCGAGTAAGGTCAGACAATAAACAAAGTAAAGCATTCACTTCAAGTCCAAAATTCTTTGTTCCCCTTTCATCCTCTATCATTAAGGTGTTCCAGATCTACAGGACTTGACATTAGTCTTAAAAGTAACTTAGGATAAAAAAAGGGTAAATATACAAAGTGACGTCACTGTTCTCACAAGTACAACTAATTATATTTCTGGATTGATAATTGTTATTAAATGTCAATTATAATTAAGATATCTTTAATTATGACAAATATAGTGATAAAATGTCGTGAGAAAATAATAATTGAAATTTGAGCTTAGAAAATTAAAAGAAAAAACGTCCATGTATTTATATGGACATTTTTTCTTTTTATGAAGTAAGTTTTTAAGACGTCCTTAATTTAATCTAAGACTCTAGTCACTTACGACATAGGCTTGGTTGCTAACTGCACCATGCATGGTAACACAATTTAATAAATAAAAATACCTCATTTAAAAATTTAATTAGATTAGAAAAAATTATGACATGGGCAGTTCTTGCACCGCCGTCCATAGCATTCCTTGATGTCCACAGCATAGAACGCTGTGGATATATATGAAGCCATCGTGTGCAATAATGTAGAAAATATCAAAGTTTTCGAGATAGATTAAACAAATCGATGTTGACCACGAAATCGAATTATATCTCAGATATTACATCGTTTACATAACCCAAAAATTAAGTTATTAGGAGAGAGCGTTCGGCAAGCGTGTCTTATTTACCATTTACAACGAAATCTTAAAACAACTGATCTTATCAACGCGCCATAATGTTTATTGTAGACTTGCAACGAATATTCGGTTACTATTCGGTATTCGGCCTATTCGGCTGCTTTTATTATATTCGGTCGAATACCGAATATCTACATATTATTCGGCCGAATAACGAATACTTAAATAATATATTTTGTCATAGAGAAATAATTGGTAAAATGAAAAATAAAAGTGCTACGTATATATTCATATTTTTATTTCTGTTATAATCATATAAGTGTAATTGGTACATAATAATAACGAGTACTAGAACAAAACAAAGGAGCGCGAAACAAACTTGTACAAGTTTTGGAGCAAAAATCCACCAATACTTTTGCCTAATATTCGACTATTCGGCAGGGGTCTCGCAATTCGGTATTGTATTAATATTTCGTGCAAGTAGTTTATTGTATTGCGTTTCTTCAGTTAAATTTAGAGCAAGCCTTAGTGTTTTAGTAAATGGCAGTGAAAAATCACATTTCATATTATGTCGTCAGATTACTAAAAGACACACAGTAAACGAATGTGCTTACTTACGATAAAAATAATATAACAACAGTATACACATAATTCTTAGTGAAATCTCTCCTATATAAACACATATGGATCGATACTATATATAAGTGTCTATATTTTGTATATGCTATAAACTGCTTAACAGATTTTCATGGCAATGAAGAAACAGTTGTAAAGATTTAAAATATTCTAATGAATTTTCAAGACAAAGACGACTTAGTAATAGGTGCCATTTAAATAATTTTTTAAAAGTAATATTCTTTTAACCTAAATTTCAGAAGTCTAGACCGTTACATAAATTAGTGACGATGAAATGGCCTACTGTAGGTTTTGAAATGGTAATGCTTTTGGTAAAATATCTGAAAACTAATTGGCTAGTAGTTGAACAAAACTTTGTCAAACTGTGCATGTCTCACTAGGTATTCATCAACAATGAATTTCAGCTTACATAACAACCTATACAAAAATATAAAAAAAAAATATTTTAATAACTTATTTGAAAATTAGCGATTTGGAACCTTGTGTCACCGTAATAATGTCTGCTGCAAAGCATCCGAAACGTCGGGCCGTAGTTAAAATATATATTTATATATATTGCATTTTAAACCGTTAAAGTGTTTTATTTAAATGTGTACTACTAGTGTAAAATGAAGACTTCCGTACAAAATAATATACAGTTTACGAATACTAGCAAGTTTTGTTCTCATAACATAAACAGCGAATAACATGACGAAACAAATTTAGTAAATACCATCATCGTTTAATTACTCTTTATCGCATTAAAATATATTTAAAATATGTTTAAACAGACCTTGTTCTATAAAAAATATGAAGGTCACATAAATATTATGTGATCTATATGCATTTTATATTAATTTGCATCGTACTAATGTTTCTTTGATGGCTGGAAAGTGATAAAATTAAATGGTTACTGTGGTTGAGTTTCCTTATGGTAGTAGGTTAAACTTAACTGCTATAATCGTGAAAGTAACCTGTCACCTCATTTGAAATGATTATATATATTACTTTTAGTTACATAGATGAATTAACTGAAAACAGTATTAAAATAAAACACTTTAACGCTTTAAAACGCAATGTATATTGATTAAACTTATGTGAAAATTATTATAACTACGACCCGACGTTTTGGATGCTTCGCAGCAGTGGTCAGAGTGTTTTATTTTAAGGTGTACTATTAGCGTAATCTACAGACAAAATAGTGTATCATGACTCTCTCTTGTTTTATTCATAGTTTGCTGCTATTAAACAAATAAATGACAAAGAAAACTAATCTAACATTCGTTAACAAAGATCGGTTATTTGCGATAGAAATTCGAATACAAACATTTACAGAAAAAATCGTTTCCAAAAGAGACCAATTTGTAATGACATTAAAATTATAAAATAGGGTAGTATTTATTACAATTATTATAGAGCAATTATAGAGCTCTACTTTGTAATAAATATTTAAAATTTTATTTTATAAAGGCTACCTTTTAAATAGCACCACCCTTTCGCTTAGCATTAAAACTTAAATTATAATAATGAAAACGTGCTTTATTTAAGATAGTATCACTAGATAAAAATTCGTGTAATGTCAATTGAAATTTTAAAACTGCAACAATGGCTTCGAAAAGGATTATGTTTGTCACTGAAAATTTCGTAATAGCTAAAAGGTGATTGTGCATTTTGAAAAGTCAAGCCAAAACTGAGAGTAGAATAATTTGAATACAGTTACATTTATCATTTCGACGAGCTCCTTGACCTAATGGTAATAATTTATGGCAGATAAACACAAGGTTGCGAGTTCGATCCCGGCCGGGTCCAACGTGATTCTATTTAATTTATAGTTTTTTGAAACATGTTGGACTTCATCCGGAAATTTGGCAGAGGTACCGTCTGAAACCATCGCCAACAGATAAAACAGTCGTGGAGTTTAATGGCGTTTCGATTTTTATGGATTTCCGAGTACACTGGGCCAAAATAGGCCAACAGCGCACCTTGCTTAGATGTTATATGGCTGGGCTATTTCACCTTCCATCAAGCGAACCCCATGTCTGTCATCGTCTATATTAAAATAACCCTATAGCATTCTATATGTTGTCTGCATATTATTATTAATCTCTAAAGTATCTGTTATATATACATGTAATGAATCATGGGGCTATGACAAATGTCAGTCATTAACTATTAGTCGGTATTGATTTCTCTTCTAATAATAATTATAACCCTTAGTTCTCATAGAAATGTACATTTGAAAACATTAATATTTTTCACATGTTATTGAACATGAAGGCATTATATAATTTAAAAATCAAAAATTAATTTAAAAAATTTTTCCCCCCCCCCCCCCCCCCCCCCCCCCCCCCCCCCCCCCCCCCCCCCAACCCCCCCCCCCCCCCCCCCCCCCCCCCAGATGACATGCCGGTTCAAGTTCTCATTTTAGATATATCTTTGACTAAAATATCAGAATAATATTTAAAATTAAAATGTGACAAACTTGTCAAGCCATCTTAAAAATTCTTGACCAATTTTCCATTTTCAGATCTATGTGGGATGAGATGAATCACAGAACATATTGAATAATAAGGATTTCTCAGTTTGGTAAGTGTAGGTGTAAGGTTCACGACAATCTACTTTTAAAATTGTCAAAATATTGACTGTTTTATATTTGGATAGGTGAAGGAAAGAAATAAACTATTTAAAAAAAGGAGTATTATTAATATTACTAATACTAGTGTCCTACTTCTCGTGTACTCAAACAGTCGCACTTAACGACAAAGACTAAGATTATAACGACATGTAAGTAGAAATAATATGAAAGAAAGCTACGTACCTTTAATTTCATCTCTGATTTAACATTTTGAGTGAAAAAGATATAATATAATTCTTCGTACACGTAAATAAGTTTCAAAGTTTTACAAAATAAGTTATTTAAAGAAAACACTAACGGTTTAAAACGCGATATATTTTAGTCTCCCCGACCACCCTGACCACACTGCTGCAAACCATCCGAAACGTCGGGCCGTAGTTAAAAATAATTTCCAAACAAGTTTAACTAAAATATATCGCGTTTAAAACCGTTAAAGTGTTTTATTTAAATGTGTACTTATCGCGTAAACTACAGACAGTATGTAAAATATGTTATTTGAAACGTGTAGGCAATTATTCAAATGCAGTGACGCGCTGCCTCTATATTATTGACAGATGACATTTGACATGCATCAACGCATTAAAATTGACATTATTCATAATAAACAAAATTATATAACTACCTACTTGAGTATAATGTAGATGTTTTGCGAATGTAAATGCCAAGGTACGGCGGGATCGCAAACTATCTCGTTTAATATTTAACTACTTTGCTAATTAGTTCGTGAGGAAATAAAATTGGTCGTCTTAAATCATAAATGCTTTATCGCTTTTAATTATAGCTGATTGGTTGATTGGTTTAGTGGTAATATATAACTGTTTATACAATCATTAAGTCGTGGGTTCGATGCAGGTGTTATAGTTTTTTCTGATATTCTGGAGACAGTAATCCTAACGCTAAAATCTAAAAATACACAATTGGTTTTTCTTTTAATAATGTTAAAACATCCTCAGTGGCAGTTGACTTTAAACAGCTTAACAGATAAAAGATAATTTTTGACAGGGATATAGATGTAAAATCTATCTAGTTTATTTTCAAATTCGGGTTTTAAACAAATTTCAGAATTACCTAACCTAGTAATTGATGCTATCTTTTGTTACATTAACAAATGCAATTCACTATTATATTCTATTACTTAAGTGTGGGCAATAATGATACAGTAACGTATAACACCTTTACAATATGCAACGAAACCTACACTCATGCGCAACTGATCAGACACTTCTATCAATTTTACTAACCAATTAGATTAATAACATCTATTAAATGGCAAACGGTTGCCAAAGACTAACATTGTATTTAAAACTAACGTAACTACGTAACGTACGATAACAGATACGTACAATTAAGTGGAATTTAATAGATAAATGAATTCCCCTTTTTTATATAATATACACAGTTTAAAATTTACTTGTCTATAAAAGTGTTTTTGTAAATTAATCTCGAAATTAAGAGCCGTTGGGGTCTAGTAATTTTCGCATCCCCACTTACGTTCGTG